GTGTGTGTGTGTGTGTGTGTGTGTGTGTGTGTGTTTGGCATGTACTCTTTGTTTAAGTCTCACGTCCTTTCATTCTTGTTAGATCATTATGTCAAGGCAGACCTCGGAATGTATCACCCGTCCCGATAAAACCGCCCAAAGTGGCGCGCAACTGTCTAATTCCCAAAACAGGTCTTTAAGAATAGGCAATGCTGAGCTTAAGAACGTGGATTATAAAAATTATCCACAGCCCTGTCCAGCAAAAAGGAATGACTTGCTTTTCAATGTCGGAAGTGTATTTTCCAGGTGCACCTGTTGGCCTACTGTGATACGTGCCTGACTTTTTCCTTCCTCTGGTATCCTTAGAATGTCGAGGGAAGGTGCAGGTTTCACTTCTGTGCTAGATGTGTGGCGTCTGTGATAGTTCTAATGTTATGTTGTTCCAGGACCTTTTTAACCCCATCAAACGAGGTCCTTCATTGCCTTCCAATTGATTTGAAGTCAGATTCGCTGGTGCGATAAGCCCTTGCCGCTAGTTGTTCCTGTGGCATTTTGGTTTGATGTCCGAACCATTTGACTCTTTGACTCTCGATGAAATTTATTACTTTTGGTATTCCGGTCTACTGTGATGCAGACGTATTCAGTAAATGCTTGGTTGAAGCAGATCGTCTTCAAAAAGATTAGAGCTCATTATCTTTAACTTAACGGGTTGAGTGAAGAAAACGAACTGGAAATTCGTAAACCAAATCAAATATCACTATCGTAACCGTAGCAACCTCCAAACAAAATGCCATTAGTTTGATTGGAGCTCAACTGACGATATCACTCCATTCTAAACAATGGGTATTGGGGTGTATTTTTTTTGCAGGCACTTTTACGCCCTCGTGAATACAATTTAGACCACATGGGAGGCAGGCTTTGACCCTCGCCTGTCAGGGGCAATCAAGGCTGAGAGGGGAACAACGTCACAGTACAAAAAAAGCGAGATACTCGACAAGAGCTAGAACTACTACTTTTCCCCACATGGCAATTAAGCTTTGGCTTTGTACTTGGGACGGCGAAGCACCTAAAGGCTGCACCACAGACGCTAGTTGGAGGTGTTTAATACAGGTAGTTTCGCGTACTGCTGATCATAAAATAATCAAATTCTCTTTTTTTTACAGGTTAGACCTTCTTGGCAGCGGTCAAGATACCTCTACCATAGGTAAGTCAGAAACACCTATATAAACGCACGCTAGTACATGTGCAAAATGTAGATTTCATCATCTTCTTAGCTTTTCCAGTAGTTGGACATTGCTTCTCAGAAATTTCGGCAATAAAAATAGATCTATTCCGTTTCCTGACTTTCTGCCCTATTCCTGCCCGAGTTATATTTGTTCTAAGTCAAGTTTCAAAGCCTTGTTCCCCCTTCCTCTCTTCCCTTCAACATTTGCTACCTTATTGGACAGTGTGGTAAATAATAAGTGATGTTGTATGGTTCAATGTCCCTTTCTGCACTTAAAAGTTTTCTGAGAATAGACTTATTATGTTTATTCAACTATATTATTACCTTCTGAAGGTTGGCGTCGGTAGCCTAGTGCTGGGCCCGCAACGTGAGATTGCAGGTTCGGGGGTTCGAGCCTCAGCTCAATCCAAAATTGTGTCCTTGGGAAATGCACTTTCCACGAATTTCCCATTTGGCTCTGTCCTTTCGGAGATGGACGTTAGACTCGGAGGCACAGCCTCTTAAATAACCTTACAGTGGTGATAGGGGCGTTAAAACATACACCATTTCACCGTTTTGTTTAACATCTGATTCTGCAGGTGTGGCCTTCATCGGAACTGCGTGCTCGTACAACAGTGTGTCAGTCATAGAGGAATACTTCACGGGGACCACAGGGAGCGTCAGTGCTCACGAGCTGGGACACAGGTATCTCTACCTCTTTTGGGAAGAAAAACGTGATGGTAGATACTTTTTCGCCACATCGACACAATTTAGATTATTTAGCAGGTGCACTAGCTGAGGTGCAAGGATATAACATCCCTACAGAAAGACCAAGACACTCACACTCAATAAAAATTCTCCCCTCACAGGAATCGAATTTTTGTCTTCTAAATGCGATGGTGGGATGCCTCACCAGCACACCATAGACGCAGATTAGATATCATAGAAGCAAAATTTTCAGGTATTTGAATCTGAGGTTGTACTAGCATTTATGGCACAGCTATCATCTTCGCTCTGTTTGAACACCAATAAAATTATATAAAACCGTTGAGAGCCATTGCCTCTACTGTGGTGGATTTTGGCAGAAACATTATGTTGTTTTGTCAGAATATGTTGCAGCTTATATTCAATACTAGTATCTAAAAAACTGACCCCTTTATTTTGTCTGAATCTGTTGTTATTATTTTTTTTTGCACTGGGGTCTAATAGTATTATCGTCTTCATTTTTTTAGAACCTGTTATACACCTGCTTATCTTTAAACTTTAACACAGTTAATTAGGATCAGGCAGCAGACGGTCAGTAGGCGTCTATGGTGTGTTGGTGTGTGTATGTGTCTGTGTGTGTGTGTGAGTGTGTGTGTGTGTGTGTGTGTGTGTGTGTGAGAGAGAGAG